GTCGTGTGTGTGTGTGTGTGTGTGTGTGTGTGTGTGTGTGTGTGTGTGTGTGTGTGTGTGTGTGTGTGTGTGTGTGTGTGTGCTCTGTCGTGTGTCAGTCGTTTGTTGCATGCAAGTGTTTCGTGTGTGTTATGTGTGTTTGCGTGTTGATGTAACTTGTCTGGGTATGTGCTCGGAAGGCGACAAGGCGTTAAGAGGCCAGGTTATATCGTTACGCTTCAAACTGCATGCGTGTGGTGTTGCACGTTTGCGCGATGCGCTGTGCACCACAGTCACGTTGAGCAGTACACCAGGACTAAGGGTAACATGGGGCAAGCAAGCAACGGCGAGAGGGAAGAGTAGCAGGTAGCGCGCCCGTGCACACGATTCATAAAAACACACACACGCATACACACACATGCACACACACACACACACACTCACACACACACACACACACAGACACAGCCACTTCCTCTCACTCAAGACAGCGGGTCTTGGTGAGAATGTTGACGAACCAGTCTGGATCCATCATCATGTGGTTGTGCGGCACATCAAACTTCATGGCCGTCCAGTCGCTACTGTTGGACCACTTGTCATGGTACCTGTCAAAGTAGAACGCGGGAAATCCAGACGCACGCAGATAGACCTTGTTTGGCACGTCCAGCCACCGCCCATCGAGCTGCACGGGCTGCTGGAAGCACTTGAGCGGCATCGGCCTGAGGTGGCGGTTCGCCCAGTCCAAGATGGGCCCGCGCAGGCCATGGTGCTCGGCAGATGTGGGTGGAATCGTGCCGCCCTCGCCCTCTGCCGGGATGGCAAGCTGCACGACCTGGTCTGAGGCTGCGGTCGTGGCGCTGCGGATGGTGAGCGCAGACTGGCCGGAGTCAGGGGTGTATGCGTCGAGGAAGAAGAGATTCGAGATGCGGCTGGCCAGGCGATCCGCCACTGCCGTCACCACCATGCCGCCGTAGCTGTGGCCCACCAAGGTGATGTCTCGCAGCTCCTCCGTCTCAATCAGGTTGCAGACGTCGGAAATGTGCGTGTTCAGGGTCGTGTTGCGGTCCAGGAGGTGGGATCTGCTGCCCAATCCTGTCAAGCACGGGGTGAAGACGCGGTGGTGTCCCAGCACATGGAGGCGCTGTGCCACATCTCGCCAGCACCACCCGCCATACCATGCGCCGTGTACAAGCACCACAGCCCGTTTCGCGCTCACTGCACAACCAAACAAACCGCAAGTTGGCATGCATGAGCTGGCTGTGTGTTCATGTGTTGTGTACGTTTGTGTATGTTTGTATAAGTGCGTTTGTGTATGTTTGTGTGCGTGTGTGTGTGTGTTTACGTGTGGGTGGGTGATACAACAAGTCGTAACGGGACAAACACACAGACAGACAGACAGACAGACAGACAGACAGACAGACAGACAGACAGACAGACAGACAGACAGACAGACAGACAGACAGACAGACAGACAGACAGACAGACAGACAGACACACGCACACACATACACACATACACACACACACACACGCACACACACACAGCAGACGCTCACTGCTTGCTTGCTGTGTCCTGTAGACAAATGGCTGTCATGTTAACACTTTTCTACAACTGCCGCCGCCACCAGATATGGCCGATGAAGGAGTGAAGCGGGACGAGAAGGGGTTTGCCATCCCCGCTGGCTTGCCCGGGAAAGTGAAACCCGTGGTGGTGAAGCGGCCCGTGGCTTCCACAGCAGAGGGAAGCAAAAGCAAAGGAGAGAGCAGCAACAACAGCAACAGCAGCGGTGGTAGCACCAGTGCAGATGTCGTGGACAAGGAGAAGCAACAGCAACCAGAAGTGGACCACAGTGGCACACCCTCCTCTGCGGCATCTTCGCAACCCGGCTCTGCTGAAGCAGCGTCCCCAGCAGCGTCCCCGTCTTCAACCTCTGCAGCAGCGTCCAGCCCAAACAAGGCTGACAAAGGCCCACCAGGTCGTGATGAGATCTACACAGCCCCAGAGTGGAGCCGAGTTCCCACAGCTGACTACAAACTCGAGGTCAGCCATAGATTGCATCGTGTTCATACACACACACAAACATATGCACCTGACGCGTGCTGGCTGTCAAGCTCATCTTTGAATCTGCGTGCTCTCACGCCTTGTCGGCAGGTTCTTAAAGGCGGGCGCATCATTGACACAATCGACATCTCAAAGAAGCCGTTGTGAGCTTTGCATGAGCGCTGATGGTGGCCGCATGTACGCGCGCGTATGCGCGCGTGCGTGCGTGTGTGTGTATGCGTGTGTGTGTGTATGCGTGTGTGTGTATGCGTGTGTGTGTATGCGTGTGTGTGTATGCGTGTGTGTGTATGCGTGTGTGCGTGTGTGTGTATGCGTGTGTGTGTATACGTGTGTGTGTATGCGTGTGTGTGTGTGTGCGTGCGTGTATGTGCGTGCGTGTGCGTGCATACGTGTGATTTCGTGATCGATAGGCGTGAATGGTATGTGTTTTCCTCTCCGCCTGCATGTTGTCTGTGACGTCAGTTGTGAGCGGTCGGCAGCAGCCTCACCGACAGTCACATCTCATACACGTGTGTATGTGTATGTGTATGTGTATGTGTGTGCACGTGCGCGTACATGTATGTGTGTGTGTGTGTGCGTGTGTGTGTCCGTTAGCTATATTGTTGGTCGGGCACCCATCTGCGACATCCAGGCCGAGCACCCGTCCATCTCGCGGTGCCACACCGTCTTGCAGCATGGTGATGACGGTGAGTGGCATCATCATAGGCGGCAGGCGTTGTACGCCCAAGTTCCTCGTCTCCTTTGGCCTTTCCTTGCTCGTACCAAAAACACACACACACACACATTCACACACACATGCACGCGTGCGTGAAGACTGATCGATTCTGTGTTGTATCCCTTGTCCAGGCTTTGTGTATGCGTACGACCTCAACAGCACGCACGGAACCAAACTGAACAAGACCAAGATGCCGCCAAAGTATGTTGTCAAATGCCAGAACCTCATCTTCCCCAACCTGGCACATGTACTTGCGTGGCGTGCTTGCGTGGCATATGTGTGCGTGAGAGAGAAGGACAGTATCAGCTGCACCTGCGGGCTCATACATGCACACAATCACACGCGTACATGTGTGCAGGCGGTATTACCGGTTTCGCATCGGGCAAATGCTGCGCTTTGGTGCCAGGTGGGCATACAATGCGCGCATGGCCTTGACGCGTGTATACGTGGGCTTTCGTGCGTATGCGTGTGTATTGCCCCACTTGCTGGAACGCCCCTCTTACCTTACTCATCACCACCATCACCACTGCTGCCATCACCATCGTCACCAGCACGCGGCTGTACATCCTGTCGGGCCCTGAGGAGCTTGAGGCGCAGGAGAGCGCCCGTCTCGAAACACAGGAAGACGCAAGTCAGTGCACATCCGGGCATGCGCTGTGTTGTGTGTGCGCGTGTGTGTGCATATGTTGTGTGTGCATATGTTGTGTGTTTGCATATGTTGTGCGTGTTCGTGTGTGTGTGTGTGTAAGAATGGGTGGGTGGGCTGGAAGATAGCGCTGTGTGATGTGAGCACTTTGCCCATTCTCCCCTGCATTCACGATGCTTGTGATGGCTGCAATTGCGCGTTTGTGTGTGCGTGTGTGTGTGCGTGTGTGTGTGTGTGTGTGTGTGTGTGTGTGTGTGTGTGTGTGTGTGTGTGTGTGTGTGTGTGTGTGTGTGTGTGTGTGTGTGTGTGTGTGTGTGTGTGCGTGTGTGTGCCCAGTCCGTGAGCGCCAGGCGAAGAAGCTCGAGGACGCCCTCAAGGCGCGCGACCAGGGCGTCACCTGGTGAGTGCACACACACACACACACATATGAACCGCGGTGATGTGGTGTTCGTAGATGTGTGTGTGTGTGCGTGTGTGTGTGTTCGGTGTGCGCCATGTCGTTCACAGATATATGAACATGCTGAGATTAACGCGCGGTGATGACCATCAAATTCCACCTGCGCATGGCAGGGGTGTGGATGAGAGCGAACCAGAAGACACAGACACAGCCGGCGGCGACGCTGGTGCGTGGTAGCGCCGACGTGTGTGTGTGTATGTGTGTGTGTGTGTGTACGTGAGTGTGCGTCAAGGCGTGATTGCGCGTGTATTTGCGCGTGCGTGTATTGGCGCCTTGCATCTTGTGCTCTTCGTTTGACACTGTACACTTCTGTGCCCCACTGCCGTGTACCCACTCATTCACATATCCACGAACGTGTGTTCCCTCACATGCAGATGTTTTAGCGGCAATTGCAAAGAACATTGAAACACACGGCCCCGACTTTGACCAGAAGGCGTTTTATCGCAAGGTGCCATCAGTGTGTCGCCACTTCCCGTTGCACAATGACACACGCACACACACATTAACACAAACTCATGCACACATCTGCGCAAATGCATTACGCCTCAATTGTACATGTGCGTGTGTGTGTGGTGTGTGTGGTGTGTGTGTGTGTGTGTGTGTGTGTGTGTGTGTGTGTGTGTGTGTGTGTGTGTGTGTGTGTGTGTGTGTGTGTGTGTGCAGGACCCACAGCGGGCGCTGAAACACTATCTGACCCAAGTTGGAGAGGACCTCGAGTTTGAGTTTGATCAGATGCAGATGGGACGCACCAGGTGGTGACGCTGTTCGTGTGTGCGTGTGTGTGTGGTGTGTGTGGTGTGTGTGGTGTGGGTGTGGGTGTGTGTGTGTGTGCATGTGCATGTGAGTGTTTGTGTGTGAGGAGCCAACGATGCGCTGGGGGTGATTAGATGCGATGACAACAAAACGTGTGCACGTGCTGATCAACCATGAAAGGATTCACATGTCGTAACTGTCGCGCACGTGCATGATGTGACCAGGGAATATGTTGCGACGATTGAACTGCCAATTTACGACGTCAACGGCCGTGGCATGAAGATATCAGGGCAAGGTTAGCAGTGAATGTTGGGGGGGGGGAAGAGATAAGCAAGATGGAGTGAGGCGCTTGGGCTTCGTATGTGCCCGCGTTTTGTCATAACCATGTACACACATGCAAATGCACATTTGTGTGTGTATTGTGTGTTTACATGCGCGCTTGCATGCATGTACATGCCCTTTTCTCGTGTGTGTGTGTGTGTGTGCACCACAGGTGAGCGGAAGAAGGAAGCCATGGAGAGCTGTTGTCTCAACGCGTGTCGTGCACTCGACGCAAAGAATCTTCTCAGAGACACACAGAGGTGAGGCTCTTTCGCACCCGCAGCTGTCACGTTCGCGGACACACACACACACACACACACACACACACGCACGCACACACAATCACCCTCATATTCTTGCTCCCTGTGTGCAGTGCGCGGAAGTTTGATGACGACGATGACGACGTCTACGGCGGAGACGACGACAACGACGAGTTTTACGATCGCACCGGCGACGTGCAGCGCAAACGAGTTCGTACCGCGACGCAGCGTGGGTGATGTGTTGGTGGCGTGATTGCAGTGCGTAAGCGTGGTATGCTCGGTTTTTGCTTGCATTGTTTGGGCTATGAAACAGCGAGTGGGCCGATGTGCGTGCATTTGTGTGCGTGCATTTGTGTTCAATATGTGCTGATCCACGCTCTCCACCCCAAAACTACCACGACGCAACCCCTCCCCTTTTCAAATTGTGTCATCGCCATCAATGCTGGCAGGCGAAGCGGCAGCAGCGGTCCGGCGCTGTGGGATCGCAGAAAGACGTGCAAACAGCGGAGACCCTCGAGGCAAAGAAGGTGTGACCGGTGTGTGTGTGTGTGTGTGTGTGTGTGTGTGTGTGTGTGTGTGTGTGTGTGTGTGTGTGTGTGTGTGTGTGTGTGTGTGTGTGTGTGTGTGTGTGTGTGCACATGGCGTCTGTGCATCCTCTGTCGTAGGCAGCTATGCCGTGCCTGCTTCAGATGTGTGAAAGAATTCGTCAACACACACGCATACCCATTCACGTACACGTACGTGCCATGTATCAACCATATGTGTGTGTTTGTGTGCACACTGGCAGTCGTCGCTGGAGGCTCAGATATCGAATCTGGAGACGGAGATTGAAGCGCTGGAGAAGACACTTGGTTCGTTGCTCTTCACTTTGCACTTGTGTGTGTCGGGGGAGGGGAGTGGTGTTACACATTTGCTCGTTGACTTAATCCCTCTCCAATCACTCACACACACACACACACACACACACACACACACACACACACACACACACACACACACACACGACACACGACACACGACACACACACACACACGCACGCACACACACACACACGCACACGCACACGCACACACACGACACACGCACAGCTGATCAGGAAGAGGAAGGGCTAGACGAGGTTGACAGCTATGTGAAGGGCTTGCAGGCCAAGACAACAAAGTCCAAGATCAAGAAGATGCGGAAGGAAGTGGATCAACTGCAGATGGATCTCAAGCAAACACAACAACTCCTCAAGTTTCTCAGGCCATCCCTCTCTTCCACAACATAGCAGCCTGCCACCTGCTGATTCGAGTAAACGTCGCATTGAACAAGCGCCTATGCCTGCTCATCAGACTTGGGCCGAGGTGAGGGAAGCGAGTCAAGGAGGAAGCGAGAGAGAGACACAGAGACAGAGACAGAGACAGAGAGACAGACATGCACACAACATGCAGTCCTGCGTCGTTCCTGTGATGATTTTCATTAAATTTCTACAATCGCATCGCGGGTCATGGCAGATGACGAAGAGCGGCAGCGGCTGTTGCAGCCAAACAATGATGATGGTGATGGTGATGATGATGCAGGTGATGATGGCGGTGGAGGGTTTGTTGCTTCGGCCTCTGTGAATGCAAGCAAAGCCGATGTTGAGAAGCAGAGAAGTGGTGGTGATGATGGTGGCGGCAATGGCAATGGCAACGGCGACGATGACAATGGTGAGTCTTGGAGTGTCGCCGGTGAGACGCGAACGATTCTGCTGCTGTCCCTGCCCATCTTTGTGGCAGTGTGCTCTTGGGTGGGCATGAAGGTGACCGACACAGCCGTGCTCGGCCACGTCGGCACAGACTACCTGTCAGCAGCATCGCTATCGGACATCTACACAACTGCGACGGCTTTCCTCATCGGCGGTCGTGTCCTGTCCACGTTTTGCGGCCAGGCGTGGGGTGCCAAGAACTACCGCCTCGTCGGCATTTGGCTCAACGTCTCGCTGGTCATTGTCGGCCTCTTTGCCATTCCCGTCATCATATCGTGGAACCTGACCACGTATGTGCTGGAGGCCTTCCACAAAACGGGGCCCATCAACCGTAACGCCAGCCTGTACTCAGGCATCCTGTCTGCGTCCATCCCAGCCCAGGTGACATTTACCCAGGTGTCCTCGTACTTCCAGGCGCAGCAGATTGTGCGGCCGGGCGTCGTTGTAGCGGTCATCTCCTTTGCGTACAACCTGCTCATGAACATCTTCCTCGTCCTCGGTGTGGGTATCAAAGGCTTCAGTGGTGTGGGTTTCATTGGTTGCCCGCTCGTCACCGCCAGTGCCCAGTGGCTGCAGGCCTTCCTCCTCATCGGCATCTACATCTTGTGGAAGAAACTCCATCGCCCGACATGGTTCGGCTTCCACTGGCATGAGGTCACATGGAAGCGATGCAAGCGCTACCTTGCCCTGTACTTGCCTGCCATTCTCATGTACGGGTCTGAGTTTTGGCGCATGGATCTCATCGGCGTCCTTGCCGCCTCTCTTGGAGACACCGATGTCGCCGCATTCAACGCATCCTACAAGGTGTGTGTGTGTGTGTGTATGTGTGTGTGTGTGTGTGTGCTTGTGTGTGCTTGTGTGCATGTGCGTACGCTTTGCATTGCTTGTGCTGTTTTTGCACTCCTGTGGGGTCATCCCTGTGTCTCTGCGGTTCTGTGTGTGAACATTCCGTGTCACGTGGGCGTGCCATCCTGTCCTGGAACCATCGCCATCCGCACTGCCCCCACATCCCTTCTAAATGCTCATGCCCTGATTACCGCTCGTGCACAGATTATCTATATTGTGCATCAGTTCTCTGTGGCCATCGGGCAGGCCACCAGCATCCGCACAGGTGAGCTCCAACCACCAAGTGCTTTTTGTTTGACAATGGCTTGGTGCTGCTGTGAACTGAAGGCGGGGTTTTCGCTTTGATTTTGAACATGCGCACAACGCTCATTCACACACACACACATACACACACACACACACACACACACACACACACACACACACACACACACACGCGCGCGCACACACACACGCACACACACGCACGCACACACGCACGCACACACGCACGCACACACACACACACACATACACACACACGCACACACACACACACAAACTCACACACAAATTCACTCATGCATGTCCATGGTGCCAAGGCATCCATCTTGGTGCAGCACAGGGGAAAAGGGCGTTTTACGCAACGTGGATGGGAACGCTGCTTGCAGGCATCACGTCGTTCTCGCTGGCAACGCTGGTGTTCTTCATCCCAAAGCAGATTGGGTCCATCTTCACTGCTGACGAGACGGTGCTTGATCTCTTCTACGACATCCGCCTCTTCCTCGCCATCACCATCTTCACCATGTCCATCTCGGATACCATGGAGGCTATCATGGTGGCGCAGGGCAGGACGCGGGCCGTTGCCATCAGCACCACCATCGCCTCGTGGGGTGTGCACGTCCCAGCGTCCTTCCTCCTCGTCCACTATTGGGAGCGCAGCATGCGCGGGCTGTATCTTGGCGTTGCCCTGGGCTACTCTGCGCTCACCCTCATCTGCGTCGGCGTGATCATGGCGTCCAAGTGGGACAAGCTGGTCGTGGAGGCCCTTGCGCGGTCCGAAGCAAAGAAGCACGTGAACACTGATGGCGGTGGTGGTGGTGGTGTAGAGGGGGAGGATGAAGATCGTGTGACTGTACAGGGTGCCATCAACGGCTATGGTGACGACGACGACGACGATGACGACGATGAATGGGAGGAGCGTCGGCCGCTGTTGCGATCTGATGATTCGCAGGTGCAGGACATTGGGGCCGTCAGTCCGGCAGCGGCAAGTCGCATCTCCGTCTCCATCGAGGGCAGCGCTTGAGGTCCCGGACTTGTTTGAGAGAGAGGGGGGGGGGGGGGGCTTGA